GGGGTGCTTTATATGTCGACTTGTTTGTGGCGAAATAAAACTCAAATTGCATAGTTGAATAGTTTTTAATTATGCTTGAGTCACTTCCCTTTGCTTGGGACTTCAACCTTTAATTTTTGAATCTCGAAATTCTACCAATAAATCAAAAACTTTGAGACTGTATATCTTAAAAATAATTTAGCAGCTTTCCTCTTTAATCAATTAGTATATACACGTCAGGATGTACCAGGAATTATTAAGGTTGTTATATGAGAAATTCTATAATAGACATTATGAATAGACAACTTGCAAGTAGACTAATTTTTTATTTAGGCCAAAAAAAGTAAATTCCCGTAAAGAACTTATTAAAATCAGTAAAAATGCAAAATTTGGTTGCGAAATGTTGTGTGTTTTATTCCCTTCTCTTTACTTAGATTAAAATTTAGTCTATTAATTAAACATGTAAGTTGTCCATTGCATGCCATCTTGGATCCGCACGAAAAATTAAAACCTTCCGCAATTTGATTATACCACTGACGAACAAATCAAATCTCTCTGTCGTAGTGGCCAAGCGAGCCATAGCAACAAGTCATGCTATGTAAATTATAATAATGGTTCAAACTATTAGAAGTGTATTGTCTTTAACCTACTATGAGCCTGGTTCACACTGACAATTTTGTCCGCGATTTTTTTTGTTTCAGCTGACTGATGCAAATGAGTGAATTCGCACACAACAAAAAACAGTCGCTCTTCAGAAGTAAAGTTTTTTGCATGTCATTTGTTTGATCACATTTGCCATGCAATGAGGAAAAAATCGCCGACACAATTGCTAGTGTGATCCAGGCTTTAGACTCAGTCAATCAGGGTTTTTAGCAAAGCATGATCATGACCAATTTCAATGGCTATACTGCCACTGCTTTGCCGGACGTGGATAACTCCAAAACAACTGGAAAGGGACAAAGGATAAACAACGCAAACAATACACTCCCATGCCAACTCGATTAGGCATTTCCGCGTAAACAACGCAAACAATAGATGAATGCATGCTTTGTTTCACCCACACACCCCCACATTCCGGCCAAAACACATATAAGCAGTCCTATTTTCGAAACTTGTCATACCGCCTGATGATTCTTTA